CGTTGAAGCCATAGAGAGTGCGGTGGTAGAGGTGGAAGGCCGCATGAATGGTATTTGTTGATGAGGTCCGTGACATGCTTAATGGGACACTCAAGGAAGTCTACAGCACCGCACGCCTACAAGAAGGAAGCTCATCCCACTCCAACATTCAAGACAAGCTAGATAGCTTTCAAGCCCAACTCGACGAAATGAGAAACGAGTGGGCAACATGGAGGAGAGCCATGTCCTCCCCAATGGCCATCCAGGCCCAATTGAATGAGATGAAAGCAGAATGGGCAGCCATGAAGGCAGTCGCATGTTCCTCCAACTCCCAAGCTCAACTAGATGAATTCAAGGCCGAGTGTGCAATCTTGAAGAGGGCCATTGCCAATCCAGCCAGCACCTCCTTTGTGCACAGTCCTTCCCACATAACGATTAGGGAGCCAACTCCCTATTCAGACGCACACAATGCCCAGGAGCTCGACAACTTCCTATGGCAAATGGACCAGTACCTTGCCATAGCCAGAGTGAATGATGAACCAGCTAAGGTGCATACGGCTACCATGTATTTGACTGATGTCTGTATGTTGTGGTGGCGCAGAAGATGTGTTGATATAGAACGTGGTACATGCACCATCCAAACCTGGGCCGACTTCAAGCGGGAGCTGAAGAGGTAGTTTTATCCAAAGAACGTGGAGTATCTCACCCGTCGCAAGATGAAGACACTCAAGCAGGGCGACTCGCTCCATGAATATGTCAAAGAATTTTCAACTCTTACCCTGGAAGTCACCGACATGTCGGACAAAGACTTGTTGTTTAACTTCATGGATGGCCTAAAGCCTTGTGCCGAGCTCGAGCTCCAGCGACGTAATGTCTAGGATCTTGCCTCTGCCATGGCTGTGCCATAACAACTTGGTGAACTAAGGCTATCCGATGATGAAGGAAGCAAGCCAACCAGCCCGCGTGCCAGCAATTTGAGTGGGGGAGGTGGATAATCCCATCCCCCGAAGGAGAAACAACCATTCCACCACAAGCTAGTTGAGTACCACAAAGGGAAGCAGCCACAAGGAAGCTGAAACTCCTACAACAGGAGATATCAGGGGAGACCCACCCATCCTCCCACTTGCTACATTTGTGGGGAGGAGCACTTGACCAAGCACTGCCCAAAACGGGAGAAACTAAATGCCCTCATTGCCAAGTTGAGTGATGATGAATGAAGCGATGGGGAGCGGAGTAGACAGGCGCCAAGAGTGGGAGCCCTACAACTTTTCAATGCCATGGTGAAAAAATGGGCTACCTCCAAACAGCCCGCCTCAGTCAAGAGAGGACTGAGGTACGTCAACATTTACCTTGGCGAGAAGCCAACCCGGGCCCTAGTTGACATAGGGGCCACTCACAATTTTATATCCATTGCAGAGGCCGAGAGACTCAACTTGGCCATTTCAAGAGAGCCAGGTTGGCTCGAAGCTGTCAATACAGGTGCAAAGCCCATCGAAGGGATGGCTCGTCGAGTTGGACTCCGAGTCGGCACCTGGAATCAGGAGATTGACCTCTCCTTTGCACAATTGGATAACTTCGCTATCGTCCTTGGCATGGACTTCTTGACATAGGCTAAAGCTGCACCAGCACCTCACCTCAACACCTTGTTGATCATGGACGAGCGGTCACCTTGCATGGTCGACATGATTACATCTATTGATACGAAGAAGAAACAAGTTTCGGCCTTGCAACTCCAACTTCCATCCGCATATCAAGAGTCTCGGAGGAGCACAGCAGTAGCAACCGCAGTCACTACAACAAGAACTGATCGTGACATCTTCAGTAAGAAGACAGTGCCACCGCCATCTCAGTGTCAACAGAAGTCGCATCCGCAACATAAGACACCAGCACCCTTCACCAACGGGCCGAAGAGAAGACCCAAGGCCAACTCCAACATCAGCCATACCTACCATCTTGGGAAGAGAGTGCCACCCACATGCTCTAGGAACCATCCCAACATTCGACCTCAATTACGCCCACGTAGTAGACCTATGAGGAGAGAACCTTGGGGAACATCCCTTAATACCCAACATCCTTTTGACTTAGATTCATCTTTTGCTCCAATCCCTACCTTAGCTAGTAGTGCAAACCAAACTAAGCCACACTTCACTTACTTTCAAGCCGCTAGCCAAGGACTCAACTTAGGACCTAGCCATAGGTTTCCCCATCACACTCAGCAATAGCAAACCTATTCCCAAAGCAGTTTCTTAGGCCTTGGAAGTGAAGAAGTTCATGGATCATCTGAAGAACCCTCCTTCACCAGTAGCAGACTCAAGCAGAGCATACAAGAGATAGTCTTCAAGGACGAAGCTTGAATTGAGTGGGGGAGACTGTCACAAGTGACCACTTTTTCGCGACATCAAGTGCTTTTGCCATGCCCACGACATGCCATCAGAGTGTCGTCTAGTGCGTCTGGGGTGGGGCTACATGTGTATTTTGTAAGGGGGGATTGCCTGGCATTATTGTAATTATGTAGTATGATTTTCCAGTATTTCCATATAATCTTTTGTCAGAGCACCAAAAGCTTAAGCTATTCTTAGAGGGGAGGTAGGTAGTTGAGAGGTGTCAAAACCATGTAAAGGTTAAGCACGAGGTCCCCTCGACACAGACTTGTGTGTTTGTACTTGCCATTTATTACAATATAAAGTGCCTTTTTACTAATTCGTGTGCCATTTATGTTGCCTATTGTGTGTATTTACTTGCTTTCTTAGTCTTATTCAACCCACGGGGCCTCGCCGATTAGCCCCATGACACATATGTGCCATTGGTGCGAATAGAACCAGAACTTGTGTCTAAGTTGCTTGCTACGAAGCCTACAGAATTGCAACGCCACAAGCTTCAAGTCATCGGCAACGAGTGCGAATGCCTCGACTTCGGAAATGGCCTTGATGGTGCGTGTGGACGAAGAAAGGATGACACTTGGGCGTGGATCAAGCGCCCATGTCAGCAGTTCCTCGCCACAGAAGTCACCGGGGCCAATGCGACATGAATTGAACAACCCCGTACGACCACCATTGGTATTATTAGACTCAGGGAGCCTCGGATGATGAAGAGCATCTCATTCACTAGGTCACCCTCTCGCGCTAGGCACGTCCCATCGGTGCACAGGGCAGGCTTCAACCTCTCACATATCGCATCTAGAATCCGCTCGTCCATCTGGTCAAACAGTGGCACCTGTTTTTCTTTCAAGTCAGACAGATTAAAATTCAATAACATAAAAGATAAAACCATATATAAGATACAATTGATACTGACTCGTCGAATAAGGTCCAAGCAGAGGTGGCGCTTGATCTCTCTGCGGAGATCCATGGTAGGCCTTTGAGAAGAGCTTCTTCATCAACTCCCTGGTTCGTTTAAAAATACAAAACAGATTTTTGTATTTAGATAATTTTATTTTCTGTATTTTTTTATTTTAGTTAATTTTATGCTATTTTTTATTATGTATAAATATTTTTTTATTTTTAATTTATTTCTGATGTCACAGGTTGAACCGTTCAATCCGAATGGTTGAACCGCTATATATTACATATAGTGGATTGGATAGGGGTGATCCTAATTCGACCAAGTATCCTTTTATGTGGTGTAAATATTGTATGTGATTGATTTTGTGGGCATTTGTTGATGGGGTGTTTATTAACTAAGTGTTTATTTGAAAAACTCTACTTAAACATTTATTACTTTTGTTATTTGGTTGTATACTTTCAAATAAAACCCTATAAAATTACTTTCCACCTTAGCTTAAAGTGCACCACATAAGCATTTCTTTTCAATAAATGCCCAAGCGTTGGGCAAACTCCCTCATGCACGTAAATAGGATTGGAGCCACGAGGACCTAGGGGATCCATGGACCCCCTTATGGCCTAGAAATCCCCACTTTACAAGTATATTTCCCCCCTCTTCCACTCTCGACCCTAACGATTGGCTCCCCCAATAGCTCATCCATATTTACTCTCCCCCCTCCCACCCAAGTCCACTGTTCCCCTCATAAAAATTCCTGACTCTACCCTACACATAAATCAAGGCATTTTTTCATAAACATTGAAACTAAAGAATGGTTTCGTAAGCAAAATTGCAAGCACTATGTAGCACTGTTGTGGTGACATTTTTTTAATTAAACGGAACCAAGTTTGCCCATTACATTAAGGGGTTTTACCATTCAATCCACCCCTAGGGTGGAACTAAGATTTCTAAAGGTGGACTGAATCTGACTGTGAATTGATGTCAAATCCATGGTCAAGATGCGGTTTATAGGAGGGGAGGGTACTAATAGACTAGGAAGGGGCTGCAATTTCAAATTTCTGAGGTGGATTACAGTTATCCCTTACATTAAAACTTAACGGTGCACTTTTCAAGAACATTTATTTTATTTTTGAAACTTGTTGACAGCGAGGATTGACAACTTGTAGTGTATCAATCACATGATTTATATGATAATCTTTTGTTTTTTAAAAGAAAAAGGGAGAATGACGGTTCAGCCCAGGGTCAGAATTTTTAGGCTTAAAGGACTTTGTTTTTTAAAAGAAAAAGGGAGAATGACGGTTCAGCCCAGGGTCAGAATTTTTAGGCTTAAAGGACTGCTGGGGTAGGTGCTAGCTCAGAATTGATGCCAATTCACAGGCGGCATTAATACATAGATTGTGGGTTGTTGACATTTTGAATGTTTATAGATCTGTAGTGGAAATTAGAAATCTACATTGGGCCTGTCCATACTTTTCTCAAAGAAAAAGGGAAAATCTTTAAGAGAATAATGTTCAGCCCAGGGTTAGAATTTTTAGGCCCAAAGTATTGTTGAGGTAGATGCCTGTTTGGAATTTGATGCTAATTTAGGGGCGCGCATTGATATATAAAGTGGGAGGATTTTGACATTTTAAATATTTATAGCTCTGCAGTGGAATTTAAAAATCTGCACTGCACCTGTCCGTATTTTTCCGAAATCTATATATCACTCCAACACCCAAGTCTTTTCCTTCTTTTCCTACTACTTTGGAGTTTCCATTTGTGGGAAGTGGGCTTGAAAGCGCTTTCTTCAAATGACAGTGGGTGTGTACGACAGAGGAAAAGCCATGCGACACGAGCCCAACAATTTCCATTTTCCAGGATAAAATTCAATTCCACACATCAAAAGAAAAGAAATTCGAATATTAAATGAAGAAAGACAGTGTGAGTTTGAGTTAAGGTTCCACGAATCTCACACTTCTTACTTTTTTAGATTCGCTTTCTTTATATCTATAATTCTGTTCTTCTCTTAATATGCACTCAGTCTTGTATTCGTCTCCGTCATTATCGTCATTCCCTTGATCTCCTCTCAAGAACCCATTCAGAGGACACAAATTTGCAGACAAAATCTCGGTGCCTAAAATGACCATTTCAACAGATTCTCACCAAGCAGACAAGTAACCTTCTTTCTTCGCTTGTTGTTCTTTCTTTTACTCTTAATTGGTGGTTGAATTATAAACTTGATCTCCTCTCAAGAATAATTTTTATTGCTAATGTTGAATTGCAGCTCATTTCTGCCCTTTGATGGATTTTGTTCTGAAAATCCTACGTTTGTCTCTGTGTCTGGACAAAATCCATTTGAGCTTCCATCATTGGACTTATTTTCTTGAAATTTCCTCTTTTGCATGCTCTATTTTTTCTGTGTACTTCTCTTACAAGCCATTAGTTTAGAAAAGAAATGCAACATGTTGTGTTTCTTCTGTTTTCAGCTAAGTAAACCAAAATCCCTTTGTTCCGTCCTGAATCAAACCAATCTGTATTCTGTTTCTGAGAGATGGTGGCTTGTCTGTGGAAACTTTGTCATTCCTTTTTTGCCTTTTTTTATTAATTCTATTCTGTGATTCACTCGTTGCTGGGGCTCTTTTGATGGAAAGCGTAACCTTAGAGGTTAAATCATCTAATCTTTCTAAATTGAGTTATGAGGTGGTTGGGACATTGGACAAACCTTTGGATTCCGAGACATTTTCTTTTCTTAATGACTGAGTAATGTACATTCTATTTTTAAACTGAACTCAAGGTGGATTGGATCATTGGAGGACGATTCAGGTCCAGGTTGATCAGTTTGAATTTTTCTGGTTTTCCATCCATTACAAGCATAATATGTTGGCTTACCATCATAAGAGGGGATAGAGGTCTGTGCACCTCATTTGATCTTAATCATTTCATTTCAGGTTTTTATTGGGAAAACTCAACTAAAATTTGGACTCTACCCTTCTTATGAGTTTACCTGCTTCTAGCCTTAGGCTGGCACATGAGAATTTTTTTGCCGAGTTTGTTTTTCGTCCAACTATATATACACAGCCTCTGCAACATCTGTCAGTATTATCGATCAAAATATCATGTTCTATTATCTGATTAACCACTCCATATAGAACAGAAAACTTGTAAATATCAGATATTATTCTCATGTGGGAAAAACAGATGCTCTCTCCCCAGTGTTGCTCCTCTTAAAGCAATACTATTTGATATTGATGGAACATTATGTGATTCAGATCCTCTTCATTACTTTGCTTTTCGTGAAATGCTGCAAGAGGTACAGTCCCTGCATGATTTCTGATGTAAACTTGTACTTTTCATCTTATGCTAGAAATAATATTGTGAGTGTCTGACAGGTAGGTTTTAATGATGGTGTCCCCATCAGTGAGGAGTTCTTCATTGAGAATATCAGTGGCAAACATAATGAGGATATCTGTCACATTCTCTTCCCTGATTGGGATCTCAAGAAGAGTCTAAAATTTATGGATGATAAGGAAGCAATGTTTCGCCGGTAACCATATTTTATCATACAGTTACTAATTTCTCCTTCGTCTGTTATTGTAACTTTGGATTCCAATGCTCATAAATTATAAATGTTGAAGATTGGCGTCAGAACAATTAAAGCCTGTAAGTGGCCTTAACAAGCTTTGCAAATGGATTAAAGATCGTGGTTTGAAGCGGGCGGCAGTGACTAATGCTCCAAGACCAAATGCTGAGCTCATGATCTCAATTCTGGGCCTGTCTGATTTCTTTGAAACTCTTGTGGTTGGAAGTGAATGTGAACGAGCAAAACCATTTCCTGATCCTTACCTGGAGGCTCTCAAAGCACTCAAAGCATCACCCAACCACAGTTTTGTGTTTGAGGTTTGTTCTGCGTAAGGTTAAAAAATTTTCAGAAGTTCATGTTTCTTGGGATCCCTCATTTCTTTGGTTCCTTGACCCTCTATGTTTTTTGTCTTTCTTTTTTCAAGGATTCTGTCTCAGGTATAAAAGCTGGGGTTGCAGCAGGGATGCCAGTTGTTGGCTTAACTACCAGAAATCCTGAAGAGTTACTGAGCAAAGCATGGGCGACTTTTCTTATTAAGGATTTTGAGGACCCAAAATTGTGGTCTGCACTGTCGGATTTGGAGAGAGAGGTAATAGGAGCAGATATTACTGCATGAAAGGGATATGGTCAGTGTAAAACTATGTCATAGTATCTTACAGAAAACCTAATTAGTTTAAACCAATGACTAAGCTGGAAATGAGGTCTTAGTTTTTTCTACTCCAGATGATTCTAAAAGATTAGTTATTCACATCCTGATTTAGGTTGAAAGATTTGACATTTGATTATAGTGATTCTGCTTGTTTTGGGGGGTATGGGTGGCTTACAGGTATAAAATACCCTGTCCATCTTCCCCAAAAGAAAACAATAATATTAGTGGTAATAAATATATTATGTTAATTTTGATGATAATAATAACAATTTTATTATCATAATAATATTAATATTAATTATAACAAGAAAGACGACAACAACAAATACAGAAGAGAAAACAGGGGAAAATAGAATATAAGCTTTGAATGTGGTGAGGTATGTTTCCCCGAAACTTTCTCTATGCTATTGTAGTGTTACACTCATTGTGGTTGAGTGTTTAAAGTTGATCTCATGTTGGTTGCCAATCTGTCCTCTTATCTTTGGAACCAATGGGACAATATTGTCATCCATTATAGTTTTCTGTATTTCAGCCAAGAGACTGGCAGTTAAGCAATAGAATTTGCATTTGAACGACCTAGCTAGGGCAAACTAAGGCATTGTTTGACATGCTTGAGAAACAATTCTGGTGACTTTTGTGCTCCTGACTCCTGAGACTGAGACTCAAATTTGGGTATGAAAGAATTGATAAGATTACTTTCTCCTCTCTTTTTTTTTTTTTCTTTTTCTGCTGAAAACTTGCCCTTTGAATTGATCCTTTGGAGCTAAATGGAAGTTGGCTTGGCAAAAGAAGCATGTTTTACTCAAAGAAGTCAGCCTTCAAATACTGATTCTACAGAGTGGAGTTGATCCGAAACCACCTAAAAATTTCCAGTTTCTTGCATAAGATGCAATAGCTAGAAGACATTTGATACTTCCGGGTATTTCCCTTCCATCTTTTCATTATTTTATTATATGCTTCTCATTATACTCTGCCATCTTGCATACTTGAAAGACTTACAGATTTTCTTCCATCATTTTTTCACAAGATACCTTATTCACTATATTTCTAATAGATTAAAATCATCACCTGAGCCTTGTTCCAACTATATGGGCTGGCTACATGAACCCTGTTTCACCATGACAAATTAGGGTTTTGTTTATAAGAGTTTAAAGTTTTAATGCCAACTGCTAACCTGATACATACAACCCTCCTTATGACCCTTATTCGGGCTTAGAATCAGTAGTGTAAGACAATCTTTTCAACCTGTAGTTGACCCGGCTGGTTGAACCGCTTGAACCGTCATTTAATCAAGATTTAGGGTCTAGTTTGAGTAAAACCTAGAGAATGTCAAAAACTGTTGACTTGGTCAAAAAATTGTCTGACCCGGATGGTTGGACTATTGCCCCATTCAACCTGGTGACTTGGTCGCAGTTTGCATACTACTGTTTATACAAATTTCAGGAGGCTATAAGTTTGCACTCGGATGTTGGACTAAGGTGATTTTTTTTTTCATTTTGGGTAACTTTTCAAAACCTGTGTCATAAGAAGCCATAGGCTCCTTCTCCTGTTATTTTTTCCAAAAAATACCTTTTTTTGGCTTCAAATTACAATTTTTAATATTTTTTACAAATAAAAAAATTTAAAACTTAATTAAAATACATAAATTAAATATAAAATATTTCATATATTACATATAAAATATAATTATATATTATGTATTGATAAATGCATGTTTGTACATACCTACACACATATATATATATATAGGCTGACATGTCAGTCTGACCCATCTAACCCATTTGGTCGAAGTGGTGACCCGTGACCTAGAGGCAAAATTGGTTTGGCCTATGGGTCGGTTTTTAAAATGGATGTGCTCCATTCACCCAGATGTGATGCCTTAACACTTAACAGCTTTTTGAAATGATTTTTTTTGGCTCTAACAACCCTTTAATTTTGAAAGAAAACCACTTTAGATCCTAAATAATTGAAAAAATGGGTTTTTATTGTTCAGTCCACCCCATAAATCCTAGCTCCACCGTACAGTTGGGGGTAGGTGCCAGTTCGGAATTGATGTCAATTCACAGGCGGATATGGGTGGTTATAGGTGGAGGTGTTTATAATTTTGAATTACTATAGTTCTGCAATTCAAATCAAAATTCTGAGATAGAGTGCAGTTTAAAAATCCCTTAAAAAATGCTAATTTTGCCCTCAAATTATGATGATTAGTCCACTTTAAGGAAAAATCAGATAACATTAGAGATGTTGTTAATGGTTTTATTAGACAAATAATAAAATAATAAGCTTACTGATGTGGCATTACTCAAAACCAAATCGAGTTTAGGGAAAGTTAGTTCTTAAGGAGTTTTCTAGAATGAATTAAGCTGTGGGTTGTCAATGTGTCGGGTCTACTAGACAAAACCAAATCGATTATTTTGGTTCTGGTTCCATGTTCTGTCTTGTCGGGTCAATTCTTCTGGTTTTAAGTTTTGTTCCAATTATTATTGGATTGGGATTGGTTTTGACTGTCTTGAATGAATACAATATAATATAATAAATTAAATTAAATTAAATTAAATGTCTAATTTTATATGTAATTCAGATACAGGGTTAAGTTAGAAGATTTGAACGAAACCCTATCCATTCAACCCTTGGAAGAGTCTCCAAGTCACCAAAGAGCAAGGATCCAACTATCTAGGAAAGCAAGAATGGCAATAGCAAAAATCCCTTGATAACGATAATTGGTGCCTTGGAACAAAATAGTGAGGCCAAAAAAGACTTTCTGCAATAAAAATTAAGATTTAAGGCCAAAAAAGACATTTTTTTGACAAAAATAGTGAGACAAGGTGCTTTTGAACACGTAAATCTTAAAAAGTTACTCAAAATAAAAAATTCATCATAATCGGGCATAAAGCTATGGCCTCCTAAAGTTTGGATTTATGCATAAAAAATAAAAATTAACTAATTTTCTAATTTTGGGGGTATGACCAAACTGCATGGGAACTGAGTTATGGTTCAACCGGTCTGATCAACCAATCTGATCTGATTTTCTAAACGATGGAGTTAATATTTTACACTGCTTCGGGGTTGGGCCAGGTCCATTCGTATTTTGACAAAAGCCCAACCCACGCCTAAATTGCACCCCTAAACGGTGTATCAAGGATTGGAAATAGATAGTGGAATTAGGACTGTCAACCCAAAACCAACACAAGGGAGACTGGATCTCTTACAAGCAAAAACTCTATACAGTCACACATTGCAAGGTACCAACTGACTTGTTGGTAAGGTCTTCTGCTGGTTGTAGTGGAGACTTAGAATCGAATCCTGTCTGCACCTGCATTGGGGGGTTTATAGGTTTGGGGGATGAGCTACCCCTATTGTCTAACTTCTTGGAACAAAAGAAAAAATAAGTAAAAAATAAAAAAATACCAGTCATCCATTGGAAATATCTCCCGTTGTATGTATTAAAGTTCATGGAAAGAAGTTTCCAATGTAGGGCTGCATTCCCATGCTTTTACAATGTATACATTTTTGCTTACAAAGAATCCCCCATCTCAATCTTGTCAGTTGTCACCACCTCAAAATCAAAGTTTTCCCCATTTTACAGATCCCCCCTGAATCAATAGGGTAGACATGGATTTGATATTCCACAAGGATAGGGATGGAAAAATTTCCATTCCAATCAACAGGGACATGTGAGGACAAGGACTTGGGGAAAACATTCCCCGCCTGGAGTCCTTGATCTCCACCTCACATGGATCCCTACTTGATAATATAAATTGTAACTATTTTATTTAAAAATATTAAAATGAGATAGAAATTAAAAATAAAATGAATTTTAGTGACAATGCCCCACAGCACATCCCACCTTGTATTGGGAACATCTCATAATGATGTATCATCATCTCCAGTACTTGTTATCAGGTCAGGAGATATTCCCAATATAAGGTGGGGATGTAAACTCAGTCTTTAGGACCTTAGGCTCTTTTTGATTTGCTAGAGAGAAGTGGGAAAGTGGAATATTTTGTTTTGTGAGACACGAAAATGGGATGGGAAAATAGGGGGATGTACTTTCTCAAAAACTGGGATTTGAGGTCGCACTGAAAAAATAAAGGGAAAGACTATAGGGCTTGCTTGTTAAAAGAGTTTGTTGTCTGTCTTCTCCACCTCCTATGCCCAATAGCAACGTCCAAGCTTCCGGTGACATTTTCAGATAGATGGTTGTCTCCGCTTCCTATGCTGCAATCACAGTGGGCTTGGCTGCCATGGTTTCCGACAACCAATGCCAATGCTCTCTCTCTCTCTCTCTCTCTCTCTCTTCAGCGTTTGATTTCCTTCTTCCATTTTACTTCTCCTAATACAATGATTTCCACCAAATGTTTCCAAACACCACTATCATCCCTTCGATTAAAATTGTGATTTTCATAAATTATTTCCAAATGCACTCAACTCATTCTGATAATTATTTTCAGAATTTATCCAACTATAGAACAAATAGATGCCCTTCAACTGTAACAGATACAATGTTCAAGGCCCAGAAACCAATAAACGAATCCCAACTTTGGCATAGTGTTGAAGCCCAGCTTTAAATCTCCTCTAAACATGAAAAATTGCAATCACCCACCATATGTTCGACCAAATTCCCTGTCAAACACCTTCGCTCCCCTATCATCTAATTTGGAGCCTATGGGCACTTGAAATCATTACAGGAAGAAAAAGAATTTATGAATCATGATACTATAGGACAAAGTGGGTTAAAGTGCCTTCTCACAAATGCCATTTCATGGATAACAATGGTCCGTTGTCATGTGAAAAATTATGGATTCAATGAGTTTGAAACTTTTTAGAGGGACAATTACTTTTTTGGAGCTAAATGGTTTTATTTTCAACTCTGATTTGTCGTGTTATCTTTCAATAATTTTCTCATAAACCAAATAATGGAAAATGAGAACTTCACACTTTTTCATCCCATTCCATCCCATCTTTTCCCATCCCACCTAAATCATTCCACAAACCAAACAGAGCCTTAATGAAAACGGAGATGGGAATTTTGTGGGGACGCATTGGCATTTATACCAGTGCCGGAAAAGGTGTAACTTGTGTAATGAGAAAAACCAAAAAATAAAATGTGATAAACTCGAATCAACCGAATTCGCA